TGCCCACAATAGTAGATATGACAATCATCTGAATTGAATTTGCCCATTCCCATCCATTTTAGTTCACTGACGCCCAGGATGTCAATGTTTATTCTTGCCATCTCCTGTTTGACCACCTCCAGCTTCCCATGGTTCCTAGATCTTACATTCCAGGTTCCTATGCAATATTTTTCTTTGCAGCATCGGACTTTCCTTTCACTTCCAGGTGTGTCTGCAACTGAGTGTCCTTTCAGCTTTGGCCCAACCACTTCATTAGCTCTGGAACTACTTGTACTTGACCTCTGCTGTCCTCAGTAACATGTTGGATGCCTTCTGACCTGAGGGGCTCATCTTCCAGTGTCATATCTTTTGGCCTTTTGTTTCTGTCCATGGAGTTTTCTTGGCAGAGATACTGGAGTGGCTTTCCAGTTCCTCCTCCAGGTGGATCGCATTAATCAGAACTCTCCACTATGACCTGTCCATCTTGGGTGTCCCTGCATGGGATAGCCCATAGATTCTCTGAATTACTCAAGCCCCTTTGCCACAACAAGGCAGCAATCCAAGATCTTTGTTGGACCGAATATTTGTTGGGGATGTAAGATCTTCACAACCAAATAGGTCTGTGTTTGTTCATATCATTCTTGTTTGACATAGTTATTTAACTATGTGCAGTTACATAAAAATCAGTACCAATAATTTCAGAGGGCTTTATTTTTGGGTAAGTGCACTTTTGGACTGTGTGGAACAGGAATGGCCTATGAAGTCTTTGGACAGATTTCACTTTGGTGGTCTGCATTTGGACATCTCAGTAAATCATAGAAGGACCATGAAGAGGAGCTTCAAACCTGTTGCTTCCATGTTTTTTGAATTTCAGTTTGCCATTTCAGTAGAAATCCAAAAAGTACAGTGAATCCTAACTGTAATTTGTCTGGAAGTACAGTAGTTGAAAAAAGTAATTATCATTAATTCCACTTAGAGGAGTTTATATTTAAAGAGAAATCAAGATGTAACTTTTTACTTGAGACTTTCTTGTCTCCAGAATGCCTTTTTTACCCCAGCATTATTTGGACAGGCAATTTGTCCATATATGGAACACCCGATTTAGAAATAGAGATGCTAGAACCTATACACTGTAGTGGTTACAGGTTTGTTTCCTGATTTCTTGTGGAATTAGGCAGTGTAACCAAGCATGGTTTTGCCTATGTTTATAGGGATATAGAGGACTGGAGTCGAAATGCAGTTCATATTTGCAAAGATAGCATTTGGTGCTCATTACTTCTTAGAAGGGAAACAAGGAATCTACTTTAATCCTTACTTATAGGAACTAGCTTTAATAAACTGCTGCATGTGATTGGAATAGAAACATATTAATCCAGATTAAAACTATGTGAACTTTAAGACTTTTCTTTAAGACAAGACATCACTGTGGCAGCATAGAGAACCATAACCGAACCTTTATAAAGACTTGTCTTCTTTAGGCCAGCCATAAGTTTAATTGATTGCTTCTTTTGTTGGAGGCTATGCATTTTTATTGTATTGGTTATCTTTCTTTTTTTTTACATAGCATTCTGTAGTTTTTAACTTCAAGTTGGCTTTCTTTATCTGAACAATTATATAAATGTGGAAAATAATATACTGTCATCTACCAAGCAAGGCAGATGTGCTGGTCCTCCAAATGCAATTGGAGTGCAACTCACATCATATCATCCTTCACCTTTGGTTATGTTGGCTAAGGCTGATAGGCATTCATTGCAAACCATCAGCATCAGGAAGGCGACAGATTCCCCACCTCTCTCATCTCTTCTATTGATAGGTAGAGTTTTATAGAATGACTGCTTTTAAGAAAGAGATCACCTATCAATTTATGTAGTTAAAAGGATTAATGCTCTTATTCTTAAATATCAGCTTTTATTCCTTAAATGGGAGTTATCAAATTTGAGATGGTTCCTTTTTCTGTTTTCTTTTGCTTGTTTGTTCTAGAAATCCAAGACATTTAGGAAAGTAAAGTAGTGTACCAGTTAAGTGTGAGGTGTCAGCTAGTTCTGACTAGAAAACTGAGGAAGGCTGGACAGGAATTGTGCATTCACAGAACCAGAGCTTGAGAAAGTTAGTTTCAGAACTACAGCTCACAGAATCCCCCGGGCCTTTTGGACTGCAGTTCCCAGAATCCTTCAGAAGAATAATTTTCCAAGCTCCTGCTAAGTGTTTGTAGTATTACAACTTTATTTACTAGGCTAACTATGTATGTGATGGCACATTCTGTCACGTGCTTTAATCTTTAGTAACAGAGTTTTATTTACTTTCTGGCATTTTCAAGGTTAGATTTCTTCTCTCAAATGATATAACTTTTCCAACATGAGCAAGTTTTCCTGGAATTCTGGATTTTGCAAGAACGGATGATATTTGACAGATAGGTGCTCTGAAATTAACTATTTTGTTCATCTGGGTTTATTCTGTATCTGTATACTTAGAGTTTTAAAATTATTTTATTTTTGTCTCTAGTTCTGGGACCACAGTTCCTAGACTCCCTCAGCCTAAATAAGGCCAGCTTAAGGGGACTTTTCAAAGCTGTGGTTGCAATATTAAACATATTTTGTCTGCACAGGACTGAGAAGGTATTTATGTTGATCATACCCCTCACCAAACAAATGAAATCCCTCCTAATGCGGTTCTCCTTCTCTTTCTCCTCCTTCTCCTTCTATACAGGGACCCTTTGAGAATTCAGCAGTTACAGAACCAAATCCGGCTGGAAAAAGAAGCATCCCAGTGGTGTCAACAGCAGCAAGCCAGTTTCCACCAAAATCTGCCCTTATCTCCAACTTTCCCACCACCACCTTCATTCCAGGAGCCTGAGTCCACCCACTCAGTCCCTTCCAGCCCTGGGCAAATGAGTGTTCTCAATTCCCATTCAGCTCCCACCATGCAGTCATCCAGCTCCTTTAACTATGCCCGTCCTAAACAGTTCATTGCTGCCCAGAACATCAGCCCTGCCTCAAGCTACGTGACACCTTCCTCTGGATCTTCCACATCAAGTCTCCCATCCCCTATGTCCCCCACTGCATCTCAGAAACAGTTCGGCAGAACATCCGCTCCTCCTTTCTCTCAGCCATTTTCTCCTGAGGGGGAATACCCATGGTCTCCTTCCCCACCCCCTCCTCCTCCCCCTGTTTTTAGTCCAACTTCTACCTTCTCAGTATCTGATTCTTTTCCACTACCACCACCACCTCCACCTCCTCTCCCAACCTCTGTCCCTTCGCCCTCCCGTAGTCTCTCTCCAACATCTAGATTTTCAAACTCTGCCCAGTCACCAGCAGCCTTCCTCAGCTCCATGCTACCATCCCAGCCAGCTCCGGTCTCTGTAAATGCACTAGGACTCCCAAAAGGCATCACACCTCCGTAAGTATAAATATTTTATGGATTTATTTAGCAAAGCCAAGCACTAGGAAGAGTGACAGTGATGGACCTTATAAGTTAAATGCATCTTGGTCATAACAAACATAACATGAGAGTCAAAGCCAATGTTAGGCAGAACTAGAGTCAAATCTGGCTCCCATTCACAGTCCCAATCAGAGTAGCAACAGCAGAGCCCTGCAGTACACTTCCTTAACTTTTAACTGAACTTAAGAATAGCCTTCTGTTCACTCTGACCTGAACTTTTAACTGTATCCTGTTCTGTGACCATTGTGTGAAACTGAGAATTCTACTGTTGTGTATGGGCTGGTGGCATTTAATGTAACACTGTCCTTGAAATGGCTTTGTGGGGTGGAGTTGGCTGGGGCTACAGCCAACATTTCCTCTAAGGTGCGGGAGCACACAGGCATACCAATGTTGCATTGGGCATGGACAGCCAAGCCAGTGTTTTCACCCATTTTCTTCCAGTCACAGCCAGAATCCTGCACACAGGGGGCAGAGCCTCCATGCAGCACTCCAGAAAATTAGAGGAAATACTGAGTACAACTCATCATCAAATCTTGGAAGCCACCAAAGGAATTCAGGATTTTTCAAACACTGAAAGATTGTGATAGCCACTGATGCTAGAGGCACCTGTGGGCATTGGAGAGCAGAGCCATGGACAAGTATGACTATGACTCAGCAACCTGCCTCACTCTGACCTTTAGAGCTCTACTTATTCAGGCACACCATGCTGTCCTTTATTTTTAATCAGCATTCCTAAAGTGACATCAAAGAGTACACATATATAGCCGTTACTCCAAACACATGCATCATTCATGGACTTCTGCTAGCATCCATTCCTCCAGCAGAAGCACTGGCCTCTTTTGGGCTGTTACCATTTCTTCAATTGTCAAATGTTGCTCTTTGTTGTCAGATGTTGCTCTTTGCACTGTGTGTGACCAGCTTCATTTTTGGTAACAGAAGGAAAGGATATTTACATTTGTGGGGCAGGAAGAATTGCAGTCTGCCAGTATATCCCAGGCAGGGTTGCCCTTGATTCACAGTTTATTGCTCCGTTAAGGGGAGGCTTTAGGCACTACAGGAATAGGAGTGGCTGCAATAGTGCAGTGGTAAATTTGGAACTGCAGTTGTTATCATGAGAATCTCCTTACCCAAGTCTCCTACTAAGGAGATGCAAATAATATCAGCAAATGAAGAGCGAGTCTTTGGTTAAGCTGATGGATTGCTCATTTGAGACCAAATCATCCTCACATATTTTGCGTTACAACACAGATACCTTGCAAGCAGTATAATGTTTACTGGAAAGCCCATCACTTTTCCTGCTACTGTAAGTATTCCAGCTAAGCTCCAAGGGAAAAACTGAGTCTGAGGGCAAGGGGATGGCAGAGAAAGTAATAGCCCCTGCCAAACAGAAAGTCCTTGTGAGCCCTGGCTTCACTGCATCGTTGAGTTTCTTCTTCTTACGCTTGTTGGACTGTGATGAGGTTGTTGTTGGAGCATCTTAGTTATTGAGTAGAGATAGGCATGAACCAAACTAGAAACTGGAAAACCCATGACCTTGGTTCGTGGTTTGGCTCATGCAACCTGTTCTGCTGAAATGAAATGAAGTGCCAAACTTTTTTCCCCTTGGCACTTCATTTTGCTTCAGCAAAACTGATACCTGCCCACCCTCTGTCTTCCTGTTGCCTCATAGCCTCCCTACCTGGTCCTGCAGCCTCTTCGTCTTCTGCCATGTTCAGAGACAGAGGCCTGGCTTCTCTTCCAAGAGCTGGGCCTGCCTTCTCTGCTCATGCGCCTATCCGTTGATCAGGCAGTCAGCTGGGGATTGGGTACCTGTGCACAGGCACTGCCCGGTTTTCCCGGAAGGCTGTGCTGCTACCATTACACCCCCATCAATGTTGCACTGCGGCAGTACAACAGGACCAGGTGGGCTCCTCCCCCACTGGACATGAATGGAAAACCCAACCAGTTTATGGTTCTGTTTTCTTGTTGGGTTGTGGGGGTTCATGGCTAACCACAAAGCGTCACAAGCCACAATTTTTGAGGTTTGTGCCCAGCTCTATTATTGGGGATTCTGCTATTGCAGCATAATGCTTAGGAACACTGTTCTACTGAAATAGCTCTGTGGTGCAAAGATTCCTTTTCTGGGCATTGGTCAATACTGGGTGCTACATTTCAAGTGCAAGGAACAGTGGAAGGAAGTGTTTGTTTCTTTGGAACCATGTCAGAGTCTTGAAATTAGTGGGATTCCATTCATACAGCATTTTATTATTATCCTAGTCAGGCTTATCCATACAGGATAAGTGGACAAAGTGCATTCTTGAGCCCCTCTAACTCTCAAGCCTTGAATTTTTATATTTGTTTTTGCCCCAAATAGCCAGTCACACACCTCTGGGGATGAAGCTGATAATTGTTCACTCTTTTCAGATTTCCTGGACCTGCTTTAAATTTGAGCTTCTCAAAACTGGAAGTGATTAGTACAATTGGTCATTGAGAAACAGAACATTTTGGGGCTTCATGGGAGTTTGGTAGGGGCCAAGGGAACTTCAGTTTCCCAGGTGGGGCTTATGCAGGCTTCTGATATTGGAGGGGGGCAGGGGGAGGGTTCCTGGATCTCTGTCCACTTTCTGCCCTCCCATATACCCTTGTTTGTTAACATCAGCAATTCCCATAGTGTCTTTCTCCTCCTAACATTATTCAGCTGTGGCCAGCTATTTAAAGGTCAAAAGCTCAACAGAGCTGCCCTGCTCCCTATTAGCTGTTTCCAATTGGCACAAAGTTTGGGGAACTAATAGTAAACATGTCCCTCCCTTTAACTTTCAATGGTGAAAGTTAAAGAAAATAAGGAAATAATGGATAGAAATGTCCTATACAAAGCAGAGGAATGGAATTCTTGATCAACTTAAAGCCAAGGAATATATATTGATTTCCTGAAATTAAACTTTTACAGAGCTCTCAATCAAGGCTCAATAACATTTGTTCCCAAACATGTAGCATGGGAACATGAACAATAAATATCACATAGACATTTCAATTCAAAGGAGATTCATCTTTGTGAATTAGGGGCCCCTATAGGCTGTGGATTTGGCCAGATTGTCTAAACCATAATTGTTCAAGTGAATGTTTTCCAGTTGGATAGCTTTAAGGTGCTCGTTTGCCAGCATATAGCTTTTGTTGTTCCAGATTCTTACGTTGTTTAAGAAGAAAGTCCAACCAAAATCTATCTTTCCAAAGTTTGTTTACTGCATATAAAAACATTTAGATATAGCAGCTTGGATACATCGTAACGCCAGTTCAGCATTAAGCAGTTGGCTGAAACACACACACATACATGCTCTCTTCCCCCACCCCCCCAATTCTGATACATTGTTTTGGGCAGTTTTGTCCAGTATTGGGTCTCCAAATATTTTTAGATTTCAGTTCCCAGAAGCTCCAGTGATCATGTTGAGAGCATCTAGGTGCTGTCGAATATCTGTGGACCCATAGTTTGGGAACCAATGTATTAAAATGATTCAAAGTAGTATGCACCAGCAATTAGTGGGATGTGGCAATCCTTCATAAAAATTTTGGTGCTTACTGAGCCACTTCTCAATTTGTAGAAATTTCAAAGGTTCCTCAGAAAGCACACAGAATTGCCAACAAGTTCTTCTAGGCCTATATGGATTGCAGTTTCGGCCCTAACCTACAGTCTGCCAACATACATTTGCTGATAATGATGCGCATGTGTTGCTTTGTTCTAGGGTTACATTTCCGATTTCAACCTAATTGTTTTCTAGAATAAATTGTTTACTTTGGCTGGTGGGAGGAGAAGAAACTAGTTGATATGTTTATGCCATATAGAAATACAGGAAGACTGCAGTTACATTTCAGTCTGTTTCTGTGTGTATATCAAAGTGAAGAATAGTAGAGCAATGGTTGTTGTGGGTTTTTCGGGCTCTTTGGCTGTGTTCTGAAGGTTGTTCTTCCTAACGTTTCACCAGTCTCTGTGGCCGGCATCTTCAGAGGACAGCACTCTGTGCTCTGGTGTAGTTGGCTAGGGAGTGCAGTATTTATAGCTGTGAGATAGGCTTTTGTCTTTTACTGTAGATGTGTGATTAGTGTGTCTTGTGGGTGTATTTTTGTGCTAAGGAAAAGAGATTATTTGTCATTGTGGTTGATGGGTGTCATTAGCTGGTCTTTTGTGTGTAGTGATCCCCTGTCCTTGTGTCTGGGTGGAGTTCATTGACCTTTTGCACACTGTATTTTTGAGAGCTGGGAGCCAAGTTTTGTTGAGCTTCACAGTTTCCTCTTTTTTGTTGAAGTTCTGCTGGTGCTTGTGGATTTCAATGGCTTCCCTGTGCAGTCTGACGTAATGATTGCTGGTGTTGTCCAGTATTTCAGTATTTTGAAATAGAATTTCATGTCTAGTTTGTTTTAGGGCATGTTCAGCTACTGCAGATTTTTCTGGTTGTTTTAGTCTGCAGTGCGTCTCATATTCTTTGATTCTGGTGTGGATGCTTCATTTTGTGGTTCCAATATATACCTGGCCACAACTGCAAGGTATCCGGCATACTCCTGCAGTGGTGAGGGGTCCCTTCTGTCCTTTGCTGACCGTAACATTTGTTGTATTTTTGTGGTGGGCTTGAATACTGTTTGTAGGTTGT